ACTGAAGGACATAAACCACAACTAGTCAGGCACTGGTTTAGTCATTGACATGTTCATGGCCGCAGAGATACAAAATTGTTAAGTAATCCATCGACCTCCACTGCACAAAAACATGCAGAGCCGTGACTCTGTTCAACACAAGCTCTTTTCAGGCATTATGCCTGAAAATGTGGAGATAGCTAGGAAGGCAGCAGGAATGTGGGACACACACAAACCCTGCCCTCATGTCCTCTCCCCATCTAGGAGTCACATGGCTCTTCATGTGATGAATGGAAATGCAGCTTGAATTCATCTGAATGTCCTTACAATGCTTCTGTAATCAGGACCCTGACTTGCCAGCACAACACACACACACACACACACACACACACACACACACACACACACACACACACAGAGAGAGGATTTTGAATTTTATTACCTTACTCTATCTGTATGATTTTCATCATTTTATTTTGCTTGCTTGCTTGCTTTATTGGCTATAAACAGCCCAGAAGAGTGTGTTATTACCTTTCTCTATCTGTATGATTATTATTTTGCTTGCTTGCTTGCTTTTTTGGCTATAAACAGCCCAGAAGAGTGTGTTGTGCTAATGAGGCAGTATATAAATCAATAAAAATAAATAAATCTGATTATTCTTATGCACTATTTTGCAGAGGTAAAAGGTAAAGGTTCCCCTTGACATTTTAGTCAGTCGTGTTAGACTGTAGGGGGCGGTGCTCATCCCTGTTTCCAAACCGTAGAGCCAGCGTTTGTCCGGATGTTTCCGTTGTCACGTGGCCAGCGCGGCTGTACACGGAACGCTGTTTACCTTGCCACCGAGGTGGTACCTATTTATCGACTCACATTTGCATGCTTTCGAACTGCTAGGTTGGCGAGGAGCTGGGACAAAGTGACAGGAGCTCACTTTGTCATGTGGATTCAATCTTACAACTGCTGGTCTTCTGACCCTGCAGCACACAAAAGCTTCTGCGGTTTAGCTCACAGCGCCACCATGTCCCCTTTTAGCAGAATGTCATGCTAATTATACTTTTAGGTAGGGAGAGGATGTGAGGGTGGGGCTTAAGCGTACAACTCATTCTCAACCACCTTTCTTATTCCATGGTTTCAATAATAATGCTTCAGTGGATCTAGATGGTGTCCTGCATCTTTTACTTCAAGAGTTTTGCTATTCACCTCTCAGGGTCACTTTGGGGCCTTCCCTGACAAAGCATTTGTTCTCCAGCAAGTGTCAGCTTGTGCACTGATGTTATTAGTATCCTTTCACCATCCAGACAATGCAAGTCATGTCTCACTACGTACAGTGACAAAGACTAACAAAACCACTGACTCTAGATATTATTTAAAACTGCCCCCCACCTCCACACTTCTTAGCAGGGATAGAGTTCAAGCAGCAAAAGCTGCTTGGGTCAGAATCTTTCAGCGTTAGTGCTAAATTGCCAGTAAACAAACAAGCAAAATTGGCAGAGAAGATTGTTTTCAAAGGGTCCCCTGGAGATTTTTTTAAAAAAGACTTGTTTTTAAAGACATCTGATATCCAAAATGAATCACCAGCCACTGTGTCAAAAGCTCCATTCCAAGCATCAGTTTTGGCACAACACCACCACTGAAACAAGCAAACTCAAATCCAGCTGAGAAGATTGTTTTTAAGTTTTTGAAGTATTTTTCAATAGTTGCTTAAAGAGATGCTTCTCTCTTAAAGAGAAGGGAGCTGGGGTTTTAAAAATGAGTTTAGACAGAAAACCTGGTGAGCCCTATGCTGATTTGGCACCAAGCATCACAAAGTTGGGGAGGAACAAATACTCAATATAAAGGAACCCAAATGTGCTCATGCTGTGTTCCACCCTGTGTTTATTTACCCAGCAGTAAGCTTAACTGAACTCAGTGGAAATTCACATGATAATTCAGCTGTCATGTGGCGAATGTGACATGCCACTCAGGCTCTGGGCCAAAAGCTCCCAGGCTTCCCAGCTTTGTGTGGTTTTAAGGGAGATGGAGGGAAAATGGGGACATTTCTCATCAGGGTGGGGAGTGGGGTGTGTGTGTAGCAAACAATTGGTACCTTCAACTCTCCAAGAGTCCTGTCTGCATCATCAAGCTGCAGAAGCTGAAACTTATCCATCCATACAGGACAAGCAGGAGCCATGGTTTATTTATTTATTTAATTTATATGCCACCCACACTACTCAAAGGTCTCTGGGCGGCTTACAACATTTAAAATACAATAAAAATTCAAAACAATTAAATGGGAATTTATATATATACACACACACACACATATATACATATATATATATACATATACATATACATATATACACACACACACGCACGCACACACATATATATACACATATACATATACATATACATATACATACACACACACACACACACACACACACAC